CTGACACCCTGAAAAATATTGTGTCTCAGGCTGTCCCCCCCCCCCCCCCCCCCCTCCTATTCTATAAGCTTGGCTTCTCCATTTTTACATAAATGGCCTCTTTCACACCTCTTTTAAACCAGTCATCCTCCCTGTCTAGGATGCGTACTTGACTGTCTTCAAAGGAGTGACCTTTTCCTTTAGATGTAAGTATACTGTTGAATCCTGACCAGATGGTTTTGCTCTTCTATGCTGTGCCATACGCTGGTGTAGCTGCTGTTTGTTTCCACTAACATACAATTCTGAGCACTCACAGTGCAGTGAGGAGTGCTTAGAATTGGAGGTAAGCAATCAACAACTTATTGCGCTCTCTGACCCCATGTTGGTTATGATTAACAGATGTTAATTGGAGCAACAGTCACCATATTTATTCCCAGATAATTTTTGTCATTCTGAATTGAGAAAGCTGGTCAGATGACCACTGAAATGTCTTCAAGAAATATACAGCAAGTCCAGTTACCTCGATTTATTTTTTTTTACAGATAAACCGTATTAAACCTCTTTGGCTCACCATAGGCCATACACCTACCAACATTAGACTTCATTAGAAGCTAATTTAATGAAACCCAATAATCCATTGCCTATTTAGGATTAGCTCATGATACTAGGGAAATATGATTATTAAAATGAACGTTAACCATTTGGGAGGAGCAGAGGAGGATATTGTAAAGGCTTAGCCCTGCTGCTCGCTCCCCGGCCCTCAGCCCTGCCTTAGCGGCCAGCTCTGTGACACCCCCTAGAGGGCTGACAAAAAGATGCTGCAGTGGCAGCTAGAGAGGCTCTTGTTTTAATATTAAGAGGAACTCCTGCAATATCAAGCAGTTTGTAGCATCCCAGAAAAGTTCCCCTTTAATATCTGGAAATCATCTATACAAGCCATTCAGACCCATCTTTAGTTTATTGAACTCTGTCAGAACTCATAAACCCAGGACTGTTAAGTATTCTATTTTTATTCCAATTTTACGGTTATAGACTTTGTCTCCTTTTATTTATTTTTTTTCTGTATATTTTCTTTTATTAAAGGATGATATTAAAAATTGTTACGCTTATTTCTATGCTCTAACTAAGAACTTAAAGTATCCTTGCCTCTGTGAAGAGCACTACTGTATAATAAACCTGTCATATTCCTGTCTGAGAGGACAGCGGTATCATAGGCTTTGTTTAAGGGCCAGTTAACACCATATGCAGTCCGTTTATTTTGATTTCTGCAGTCAAAATACATCACAATGCTTTCCTATGAGCTTTCTTGTCCTTAATTCACACCATTGCAGTCTGTTCAGGTGCAATCAGAAAAAGTACTGCTTGTCCTATTTTACCTGCATAAAACTGCATCGAAATGCATCAAAACGCAGTGCAAACACATAGCAAACGCACCGGAACGCATACAAGAAAAAAAAATTAGTCTGAATTGATTATGTCATCACCCAGGGACTTCCTCTTTGTAGTGTGGAGAGAAAGTGAAGAGATGGAATTTGTGGATGCAGATGATTTCATCCAATATGTGCGGGACTGTCCCCTGCTGTACAACAGCAAACATCCCCAATATAAGAAAAAAAATTGCCAGAAGATGGCAAAGTGGAGGGAGATTGCTGAAAAGGTGCACCCAGATTTTGGGGCTATGAACCAGAGAATGGCTATAGTCAACACCATAGTATAGTATAGCACCATGCCAGCCAACAAAGAAAGCATGTCTGATCTCCAAAACCAACTTAGGAAATGCTCAGACAGGAAGAGGAAGTTACCTAATTGTCGATGCGTTTTTTTTCTGCACTAGAAAATGCTCATCAGAAACGCATTGCAAACGTGTCAAAACAGATCGCAGTGCAACTGCACAGACGCACACAGTTGTGATGCAGTTTCTGGTGTGAACTGGGTCTAAGTGTTTTGAATTGTCACGGCATTTGCTGGGAATAGTCAGTGTTTCCGTAAAAAAAAAAAAATAATGTGTTGGCAGCGAATGTTTGGGGTGTAAGGGGTTAACTGCGGACTTAACCAACCCTAGTGGCGATCGTTATCAGTCTGCTGGCCTGAGATTGTGGTTCCGCGAGCTGGGAATGCTCTGTGCAGGGTGAGGCTGAGAGTGTTATCACCACAGCCTTGCGACAGGTGATTGACATATAGTGGGTTCGGATTGGGTGCGCCCGTCACAGGCACCTCTAAGGACCTGTTGTATTCTAGTACGTTGTATATGTTACCTATGTATACCAGTACCTTATCGTATTGTATTTCTTGTTAAACCCAATAAAATGAATGGAAAAGAAACATAATTCTTATAATGTATTTTTCTATATTATTTAGGCAAAACACTTTGTGTTATTGTGCTTGCAAATAAGAAAAAAAGACATAAAACAGAAATAAATCAATCACACTCTACAGTATAGAAGTCTCTACAGTATAGACGTCCCTGGGTACTGAATGCAGCATGTAATATGGATTATTAAAAGGTTAGCAGGTTTCATAAACACTCAGACTTTTTCCAGAGACTATAAAGAAATACACATACCAGTAAGTTGAAAAAGATCTCTTTCAAGTTCTTTGTATCTTCCTCTGAAAGCCAGTGTCCATCATCATCCTCTCCAAAACCACCCGTTAGGATTTTTATCTCTATTTTTCCTGCCAGGGAAATAATCATTTGAAACTTATAACTACATAAAACTTTAAAACAATGTTGAATCTGAAGTAAGAAGGCAGTGCTTAATCTCGGTTTGGAGAAATCACTAGGAAGGACAGGATCCAATGGCACACCACAGGGACACAGGAACTCAACTGAAAAACAGGTACTCTGGGCTTGTACATCATTGACACTATTCCTACCAAACACACTTTCAAGCCAGGTAGACACACTTCTTGATGAACCGGCCAAGATGTGATACATGGGTGCTGCTGTTGGTGCTTTTCCAACCAGAATCCCTCGATCAGCTGATCGAAGGAGCATGTTGGAAAATTGTCGGCCGAAAAGAGCTAGTAGCCAATGAGCTACCAGTTCTGTTCGGGTATTCTGACAGTGGCCGGCGGCTCCTGTCAGAATACAAAGGAAACAGCAGGAGATTCCTTGATCAATGCTCATAAGCGTTGAAGGTGGAACTTGTTCTATTTTTTTTTGTTCATCTGGCAGGTTAAACAAAGAAAATAGACGCGTGTATATCTGACTTTAGGGAACGGTTTGCTTAATGTGATCTTGTGCTTTGCCAGTGCAGGGCAACTTCTCCCTTCCCCCTTCACCTATCCCAGCTGCTCCATGTAGTTTGTTGAAGCTTACACAGGGCTTAGGACTCTCTTTGCAACCTCATTTGACAGCGCTGGGATAATCATCAATACATGTAATTAAAAGAGAAGTCACATGCTCTGCAATAAATAAAGTGCCAGGTATTTCTCTCTACCTAGGCGGGGTAAATTGAATGTATGCTGCAGAAGAAAGTTAACTTTTAGGTTGCAAGCTCTTACGGGCAGGGTCCTCCTTATCATCTTGTCTTGAATAGTGTTATTGTAATGTCTTCCTTATATTGTAAAGCACTGCGCAAACTGTTGGCGCTATATAAATCCTGTATAATAATAACAAAGTTATGTCAAGTATTATGTTCTCCATACATTGCAATTTTCTGCACTTTCAACCAGCTTGGTAATGAACAGTGCAAGCTTGCGAGACGTGAACACTTCAAACATCCAGTGGGTGGGCCAGACACTAACAAGTAGGGATGTTCAGATACCTGTGCAGATACTTGGCACTTCCATGAGAACTATCAGGGTTGCAGCAGTTGCAGCTGGGACCTGGCTCTCCACCTACAGGGATGCACAAATCCCAGGAGCTCCGTGTGCTCCTTACAAATTACAGATGCCTCCAAATATTTGAATTTTTCTCTAGTCTAGTCTTGGAGCTGGAAAAGTATCCGTACTTGTACCGAGTATGGTACTTGGTATCTGAACATCCCTACTAAACAAGCTTGACACAGCATACACAGAAGTCCTTTCTCCTTCTAGAAACAGTTAATTGTATTATATATGCAGGGTCATCTTCCTACTCGGTAGTGCTATGCAAGGTTGTACCTTTGTATGGCTTTAAACTGTCTGATCCTGCCCCTGATTTGACAGCCTGATGGTTCAAGCAAAGATTGTCACCTTACTGTTCCTCTCGCATTATGTAATTTTACAAGCCTGGGTACTGGTGGAAAACACAGCATTGTATAATTCTACATAGTGATTTTATCTAATTAAAAGGGGACAGAAGTGAAATACATATAGCCAACTAAAGCAATGTAGCATTAAAAAACCCCCCACACACTCTTAAAAACCTCAGTGACCTGTATCAACCTTACATAAGACAAACATGAAGAATGGTAGATGCAAACTCATTTACCAAAAGGTAAGGCATGCATGGATTTCGATAAAGGTGTCTCAAGACGGCAGGTTAGAAATCAAGACTGCTTTTAAGAAAGAAGGCTGCAACTAATGATTATTCTCATAAAAAGCGATTAGTTGGCAGTTTATTTTTTTGGATTAAATCGGTTGAAAAAAATAAATACATATCCTTAATTTAAAATACACATATGCAGTCTTACAAAACAAAGTTTACTTCAGAATAAAACTGTATGCACAATTTTTTGCAAATCCACTGCACAGGAATGCACAGCATTGCGGTACTGTGTGTTCCATTGCGGCCAATCACACTGTGGGTGGGAGGCGCGTTTGGGTGCCATTGAAATGAACGGCACTGCAACGCACCTCCTGCAGCAGAATTTGTCAGACCGAAAATGACCTTTTCCCCATCTTATATAATTTTTTTAAAATAACTATTGTAAATCACATGGCGCTTGAATAGCTTCAGCCCAGGAATGACAGCTGCCAGTGGTAAGATTCTGCCGACAGCAGCGTAATGTAAATACGGCAGGTAGTGGGCTGGTGCAATAGCCAGCCTGCTATTGGCCATTTTAAATTGCAATAGCAGGCTGACTATTGCACCCGCCCTCTGCTTGCTGTGCCCTCCCAGCGTGGAGGAGAGAACCAGGGGATCCAACCAACTGATAACGAGAATAGTTGACAACTATTCTCATTATCGATTAGTTGGTTGCAGCCCTAGAAATAGTAAAGAAAACTCTTAAATAAAAAACTTGCTTGGAAGCAGAAAAGCCAGACATTTAGAGAAGCAGACCAGAGTTAATTCATTGCAAAGAGAATCAGGAACAGAAAGCGCTAGAGAAGCACATTTAAAAGTACCCTACAAAGTGCAAATCAAAAACCCTAAATTACACTCAACCCGACTGCTTCTGCCTTGTGCAAACACAACCAAAAGGAGCCAGACGATAGCAACACAAGCCTACCTTTTGCCTTCAGGCCTTCCTTTTCAAGCAGGTCTTTTACAACATTTTCAATGAGTCTCATCTGTGGGTTTTCGCTGCTCATTTCCTTCAAGCTTTTCTCGGTATGCTCAGAGCTGCCCCTCCGTATCTTAGTAACCCTGACTTTTACACGGCCATCTGAACGGTCATCTGATAAAGAGATGACAGGAAAAATTAACCCATCTATTTACGAATACTTAAAAAACAGGATAGCCAAACTCCGGTAATGGCCTTCGAGTGAATCAAGGCCTCATCCAATAACCTTCAGTATATCTGATCTCCCCCAGCAGGGGAGCATAGAGGTTTTTGCCAACAAGTCAAGACGCAAAATATCCACTAAATAGCTTTGTATTTACCAAAGGAAGACCTGAAAACAGTTCTAGATAACATTCTTATTTCCAAAGTAAAAAAGATACCGGTACCAAATTGTTGGCCTTATTTCTAAGACTTGTCCTTAGTAACCACATTCTTCCTTCCATTTATTCTGCACTATAGGAATAAAGCAATGGAGATGACTAACTGCTGTGGGGGTAACACAAACTGCTCTGAGACCCCTTAGCCAAAATGACCCACAGTGTGCATGATAACCAAACGCTTCCAACACTTTCAGGGTGCTACACAAAGTGTTCACGCTTAAAGCATCTTTAGGAACCAGTACCTTCAACCAACTAAACTGCATTAAAAAAAAAGATTTACTACATTTCTGTAAAAAATAACAAAAAACACTGTAACCTAAATTAAAAAGACGACTTGTTCCCAGACATTATATCAAATTCTGATTTGAAAGAACCAATCAAAACCTATCGAAAATATAAACAGTCTTCAACCAACAAGAGACACAAGAGGCCGTCAATGACTCCATGCCTTAACATGTATTTTGCTTCTGTCCATCTGAAAAACACAACATTCTAAAGAAATGATTCTTAACTCTGGTCCTTAAAGTACACCTGTCATGTGAGAAATGAAGGCTGCCACTGCTGAGCTCACTTTCCAAAAATGCCATATTGATAGTGGTCATGTGAATTCAGTGGTTTCACTACTTCAAAACAAATATAAAGAACAAGTATTCCAAAATCAATCTGACTGCTGGTACCAAGTCAATGAACCGATGTATTATAGCCAGGGAAACCAAAGGTCAGCAATGGCAGCATACTTATTTATTTTAGGACTGTGGTGTTTTTTATTAATGATGTCCTTGACTTCAATTCACAGGTGAGATGACTAGAATCTCGGGAGATATTTTATAAAACATACACAAACACACACCTAACAGAACACACACACACACACAGTTTCCTTAAAAAAAAAAAACATTAAGCCATTTCAGATGCAGGTTCCTGACGTAGACAATTAACCCCTTAAGGACCAAGCTTCAGATGCTTGCATTTCAGTTAAGGACCGAAGCAATTTTTGCTGTGTGTGTTCAACGGCAATTGCCATGTCATTTATTGCACTAGCACATATTATAAACCGTTTAAAGGACAAAAAGGGCTACAGTCGGCTCTACAAGTTTAAACAGACTCCCGGCGGCAAAAGTCGCCGGGAGTCTGTTTAAACAGCCCCGATGCTGGCGACGTACACTGTACGTCGTCAGTCACGAAGGGGTTAATTTGATGCGACATGTGCTTATATAAGTTCTCATTTAGCGCATGACGGCAGCTTAAACCCTTAAGGACCCATGATGAAACGATGCAGTCATGGGTCCTTAAAGGGTTAAGCATGAACCATGGGGCGGAGGGAATACATAGACAAATCTATAGACAAATACAGAATAATCAAGTCCTTTATACACCTACCAGTTGGGGCTTTGGCAGCAGGTTCCTTGTTGCCTTGCGTCATGACTTCATTGCTTTCCCCTGGCTCGGTCTCTTCTTCCTTATCCTCTGCAGCATTATCCAGTTTATCTATTAGTTTGTTCAACGTGGTAGCAAGTGATTTTGTGGCTTGCTTTCTGTCAAACTCCCCCTTCAAACCTTCTGTTTCCAACTCCTCCTGAGCCTAGAAAGTACAATTGAAAGTGTGACAACTTAGCAATAATTTCTGGATGATACCATGCAAGGATGAAAACAGCTTTGTAGTAGTTTTGGCGAGTGGTGGGTGATACACAGATAAAACAATATCTAAAGCTACTTAGCAAAACTTCAGATCTTTTTAAAAATAGGAGCTCCTAATGCGCAAAATACATTTAAACATGTTCTTATTGGAAGTAAGGAGATTAAGGGGGGACATGATTTTCATGTATAAAATGTTTACCGGGGATAGCGACATTAGCAGCAAACGTTTTAAAATCAACTCCATGACAAAGACGAGAAGCCACCACCTAAAATTGGTGGAGAAAACATTTCAGCACAAGGGGCGAAGGGGTTTCTTCTCAGTTAGATCAGTCAGGGTCTGGAACTCGCTGCCACATGCTGTGATTTCGGCTGAGAGTGTGGAATCATTCAAGAGGCGATTGGACGATTTTCTCAGGGACCGTAATATACATGGATACAAGTACTCTTGAGAATGAGATCACACAGTGACCTATACATACGCACACATCAGAAGGACCATACTTATGCACACTATAGGTTGGACTTGATGGACATATGTCTTTATTCAACCTCAAATACTAGGTAACTATGTAACTATTCTGATTACATTACTCTGTTGTAAAAGTTATTTTTTTGTTTTTTTAATTGAGTAGCCTCTCCTCATAGCTAGTAACAGACTCTACTAATACACATTTCACTACATAAGGACTAAAATATCCAACCTAAAAGGTTTTCAAAAGGCAAAAATTAGGAGGCCCCTTAAAGAACACCAGCTCCCACCTCCCAGTGCAATTTTGCCAAGCAGCAAGATAAAAAAATATAGCATGGACCCTCATCATTGGCCGTTAATCTTGACTGGTGAAACCATTATTATTACTAACTAGAAATAAAATTAATTATATCCGTGCTGGTAAAAGAGCTAGTACTTTAGGTAACATTCAAAAACATGTTTTATAGGAAGGGCAGAGTAGTTAGCCAAAAATAAAAAAAATTGGTGTCTTTATTTCCTAATAGATCACACACACTAGACATTAGTTAAGGTGCTATCCATTCTTGGATGTGTAAGCAAGCACTGACAGCTTGAAGCTTTAACCTGTTTGTCACCTTTGCAATACAAGTTGTTGTACAGGGGTGGTGAGACTAAGCCATCTAGTGGCTGTGAGCTATGCAGTCATTCCCCAGGAGAATGATGACAAAGTGTATGTAAAACCAAAAGCAAAAAAGGTCAAATACTGCACATAACCAATCCTTAGATGAGGTGGCTGCATTAGTTTGCTTTCTTTTTCCCCCCCTTTATTTTCACTTGGTGATCCGGCCAGCAAGTCTGTTATTTTTCAGTTTCCTTTAAACAGTCCAAGCTGTCCACCATAGGTAGCAGATGAAAGGGTTGAGACAAACTATTTAACACTGAAAAAGGGCTTACAAATGGTTAGACTTTTTTCATTTATGTAAAATCTATATTCCATTAAGCTGTAACCGCTTAACCTCACTGGCGGTATGATTTTTTATTTTCTTTTTTCGTTCTTTTTTTTAAAAACTTTTGAATCGCCCGCCGGTTCCGTCCCCCTGCGACGCGGACACTCGCAAGGGACGGAACCCGGATGTCGGCATCGGCCGGAGGACACAGCGCAGCTCGAGGCACAAGGTAAGAGACGCGCTGTGTATTCCCGAGTGTGGCTCTGTGTTCCTGCTTATAGTACAGAAAATTAACCCCGAGCCACACTCGGGAATACAGCCAAGGAGGGTAAACGTGTTAGCTGTGGTTCGGATTTAATTAGTCAAGTCCATCTAAATCTGCTAGTGCATCCAACACTACCGCTGTCCAAGGGTGACTGCTGCTCCTCAATAGAGCGGAGCCACCCTAAGACAGGAAAGGTGTTACTGACCAAATCACTAGGTGAAAAAAGGCTCAAAAAACAAAACGCAGCAGTAAAGTGGAACTAAAACAAATCTCTCAACCTACATATGAAATACTTATGACATTCAATACAATTGAAATCTTTTTTCAACTTGCCAAATGATTTGCACTTAGCACATGTTTTTTTTTACACACCTCACACTACACAGCTATGAAGATTACACTACTAAATCCTGGCTCAACTTTACCACTTCCTGGAACACCTTCCAGCTCATTGGAGTTGATGTTGACTCAGTATCCAATGAGCAGGCCAGAAGTGGGGAGGTGATGCGTATAAGAAACTGCCTAGCTGAACCAGAAAAATAAGATTTTTGTATTTGTAAAATCTTTCTTAGCAGTCCATTGAGGGATACAGGAACAATAGAGATCATATATTTATAGCGATACTGCTGCCTTTGGAATGTTTCGGACACCGACAAAAAGAAAAAAAGTTATTAAGCCAGCTGTCCTGCATAACCCCGCTTTTGGCAAGCCTCAATTTTATGGGCAAGCCAGTTTGCGTTTCTCACTGGACTCCCCAAAAATCTTCTTTATCGTCCATTGAGGGATACAGAAACAGTAGAATTCATACAAGTGGGACGTCCAAAAGCAATCCAAAACAAGGGAGGGACCTCTCCTAGGAAATGCTACACTGTGGAACCAAGAGCCACTTAACTGAATAATAGCATTGTAGCAAAAATATCAGGTAGAAGAACAAAAACAAGTGAAAATACCACTTTGAAAATTCAATAGAGGAGGAACCACAGAACAAGTGGGAGAGTGGTTCATTCGAGAAAGAGAAAATGCTTGAGGTCTATGACTAGAGAAGGATGCAGATTCAAAATGTCTTTGGAGAAATAAGAGCCATGGGAGGAGGAGGACTATGAGAGTCCTGTCGTATCTAAATATCCCCTGCGGTGGAGGAAGATAGCTCCAGAGCCAGAAGCTGAAGGCGTGGGCATTTTCTTGTGAAGATATTGGTCGGAAAGACACTTGTCTTTCTAAGGCAAGTGAAGGAGATGTTCTTTGCTTGTACCTTCAACATTCAAAGAACATAGCCAAAAGTGGTCTTTTCATAAGTACAGACATAGTCATGCAAGACAATAATTTAGATGCATTTATAAAGGCCCATTGAGCAAAAGCTCATACTGTAAAAATGCTAGGGTCCTGACTAGACGAGGGTGGTACCAGAAACTGGAATGTAAGTAAAGTAGTCGGTAGCACAGTTATATAAAATCTGAGCTGGACTAGACTGAAAGGCATCTGAAAGAAAATCAGAAATAGCCATTTAGGCCTGAGACACTAAAAAGGTGAAGGGCCGGGGCATGGCCAAGCGGCGTGCATGAACGGACGCTGATCACAGCAGCTCCGGTCCCACTCTCATCCTTATCCTATCCAGGCGGTTCCCGCGACTCGGTCGGCACCCGGGCTCCTTCCACTCTCCCTCAGGATCCTCCTGGCAGCTACAATGGGGAAAAAAATCGGGGACCAGAGGGACGTCTCCGCGGCCGAAAAATTGGCCCGGTTCCAGCGGCAAGATGGCGCCGGACATGCGGCCCTCCGCACCTCCTCGGGCTCCACGATGAGGATGGGGACTCCTCAATCCTCAAGTAAGGGGGCTTCACAGGGGAAATCTGCTCCACTGACCCAGCTGGGCATGAAGGGGAAGGCAGCACAATCCCCCCAGGCTGAACACACAAAAGGCCAACCTGTACAACGTGCATGCAGGGCCTCTGAGGAGAGGGGGATGGGGGAGACGTTCCCTGCAGACACACAGGCCCCTGCTGAGCCCACCCTCCTACAATTAATGGAGGCTATTCGGGACTGCAAAACCTCCCTGGCATCACAGATTGAGGGGGTACATATAGACCTCTCTCTGCTGAAGCATGATGTTCAGGGTCTGCGTGACAGGGTCACCGAAACTGAGGGCCGCATTACTATCCTGGAAGATGCGATGACCCCGTTGTCCAGGGATACTGCTGGATTACAGAGGGAGCTAGCGGCCTGCAGAGCTAAAATGGATGACCTGGAGAATCGCTCCAGGCGGAATAACCTCCGCTTTGTTGGATTTCCTGAGCGGTCAGAGGGCCAACATCCTGAGCAATTTATTCAAGATTGGCTTAGAGAGATGTTTGGAGATTTCACCCCCTCTTCTCCTTCCTTTGTGGAGCGGGCGCATCGCACACCACCCTCCTCGCCTCCCCCTGGTTCCGCTCCCAGACCTATTATTGCCAGGATCCTCAACTTCAGGGATAAAGTGGCGATTCTGCGTGCCTCACGGATTGCAGGGGAGCTCTCCTACAATGGGAATCGGGTCTTCATTTTTCCTGACTTTTCCACTGAATTACAACACCAAATGTCCTCCTTCCTGGAGGTCAAAAAGCGGCTGCGCCAGGAGGGTGTCGCCTATGGCATGCTTTATCCTGCCAAACTGAAAGTGACAAGGGATGGTAAAGTACAACTCTTCTCCTCACCCAACGAAGCCTCGGACTGGCTGGATGGTAAAGGTCTTCCCCAGAGGAGACGCAAATATGACCTGTTCCTGCTGGAACAAACTAAAAAGAAAATGCTACATACTCAGCAAAAAATATTCGAGTTTGGGAATAAGGCGGGTAGATTACTGGCATACTTTACAAGGCCGGAATTCAACCCTACCTCTATTCCCCACATTCTCTCTCTCCCTCGGGGTCCCTGGTCACTGACACCCAAGGCATTATGGATGCATTCCTGTCCTTCTATAGAGATTTATACTCCTCCAGAGCCCAATATACGGACGTTGAGCTGGGGGATTATCTGTCTCAGATCTCCCTCCCCTCCCTGTCCTCTCAGGCCAGAGAGGAGCTGGATCAACTGCTCACTACTGACGAAATTGAGTTGGCGGTTGCCCAATTCCCTACTGGGAAGACCCCAGGGCTTGACGGATTCCCAGTGGAGTGGCACGCCTCTTATATGGAAGACATAGGGCCACACCTACTAGACACATGTAATGAGGCATTTGGGCTGGGTATACGCCCCCCGTCTATGAGAGAAGCTCTTATAGTCTTGATTTTAAAACCGGGAAAAGATCC